TTGTTTTTGTCCCTGGTTGGCTCACGTAATTTATGATAACCGAGCAAATTTTTGTTATGATCGGTGTGGGACTCTTCATGATAAATTATTGATGACGCTGCCAAATTTTCAGCTTTCAGTAGTTTGGAATGAACAACCAAAATATAATTTTTTACAATTTATGAATGTTTGGTACAGGAGCTCTGTTAACTATAACTACAATAATCTTCTTTTCTACTGTTAGCCTCTTTTTTGTACGCTTTACCTCCTTATCGGCACATTTAAGATGCCCTTTATCAGGTTTTTCAAAGCACTATTCAAGGAAATTTTTTGTTAAGTAGTCAATTATAATCTTTGAATAGCCATGATAATTGGGTGCATCATTTGTACTCGGGTGTTTTCTTTTCTCCAGACCAATTTCGTTTTTTGATAAACAATTGTGTTGGAGTTTTTTTATACAATCTAAAAGATAATATTGTCTTGAGCATAAATTTAAAAAGTTTCATGCATAATAATTAATTATATTGGATTTTAATTGACAGTCACTTCAAAACAACAAAAATAGTCGATTTTATCGATTATAATTGATTAATTTCTACTGATTTTCAAAAAATTTTATCAAAAAAAGATAATCAGTTATAATCCATTTATTTAAATCTTTTTGTGTGTTGATTCCAACTTTTCAAAATATTGTTACACTTAACTTAGTTATTTTGTTCTCTCGCTAAGCTTCATAATTTCCTATTTTCTTCCGCGTTTATGAAAATTTACAAAAATTTACCTATAGATCCTACACCCCCTCCCCCACGTTTAACCGTACTACGTGCGGATGGAGGCTACGTGTGTGTGGGGGGGGGGGGTGTACGTGGGGGGGGGGGGTGGTACATGGGGGGTACGTGTGGGGTACCTGGGTTAGGACGTAGGGGGGTATAAGGAGTAGACATGGGGGGAGAGGTGGGACGTAGCGGGGGCATGATGGTGGTAGTGAGTAGTAGGAGGGGGTAGGGGGGACTCAAAATTCAGAAAAAAATTTAAAGCACTCCCACAACACTAAAAAAAACGAACGTATTGCGACCAAATTTTTAGCACCGCGGGTAAATTTCTTGAAAAAAACTGGTCAAAAATGCCGTTTTTGGCATTTTTTGGAAAATTACTAGTTATTAGCCTCTTCAAAATCACTATATTTTGCCGCCCTGGATGAATGTGTTCGTTCGAGTTGGGCAAAAAAATTGCAAAAGTAGAGTAATTAGTTACAAAATTTAATCCGAATTTCATGGATTTTTTATGTACAAAAAATAATCCATTTTATTGAAAACAAAAACGGATTATAATTGAGTATAATGGATTTTAATGGAATTTTAATTTTAGAGAATAATTTATTGAATTGGAAAAAAGGCTACGTTGTTTAAATTTGCCACTATAATCGAGTATACAGACAACCTTTTTGTCAACAAATATCCGTTATAGTCAATTTTTATCCATGAAACTTCGGTGCGGGAGGTATAAAGAACCTTTATGCTCTGGACGCTTTTTCTCCTAACAAACTATGACTTTTAACTTAGCAATTTTTGACAGAATTGATTTATATCATTCGAAAGTTATTGTTGTCGAGCTCCAACAAAAACCATTTTTTACCTGTGATCATTGTTGTCGAGCTCCAACAAAAACCTTTTTTTACCTGTGATCATTTCTGTGAAGTAATGCGAGTTTAAAGATTGCCAGTTTGGTCAATTTGAGACATTTAACGCGCAATATTAACAAATCAGCCGAATTTTAAGCCGTCTTAAAATTGTTCCAAATTTTGGAAACGCGAAGTATATCATTTTGGACTTCAAATAGCGTGTGGGGTGATGATTTTAAAAAAATCAAACACAAAACAAAAATTACAGCATATACCTTAAAACGTAGTCGGAACAATCAAGGCTTCACCCTCATACGAGCATTCTTGTTATATTTTATATTAAACTCTACTCGATAGGTGTCAAAGGGCAGTAGGAACATTCAGAATGTCGCCCTGATGCGAGCAGTTCTGTTTCTTTTGACATGGACAGACAATCTAGTGAGTGTTATTTTCAGTCTAAGTTCTGTTTTCCAAAAAACAATCGTTCCAACCAGGGGCGGATTTAGGGGGGGGAGAGGGGGGGGCGGACGCCCCTCCCTCTCAGGGATTCGACCCCCTGACGACCCAAAGGGTCCCCCCTTTGCTACTTTTTAAGAAATCCATTTTTTGCCGACCGACCCTAAAAATTTTCTAAAGGCGCCTGCGGCGCCAATATATATTAATTTTGAGGGGGAGCGCACGCCAAAAAAACGCGATTTTTTTGTCAAAATTTTTCAAAAAGTGCCTAAAAACATTTTTTTTGACCTGTTTTTTCAAAAATTTTACAAATGGATTATAATGGATATTTGTTGACAAAAATGTTGTCTGTATAATCGATCATAGTGGCAAATTTAGACAACATAATGAATTATTATCGTTTTTAATCAATTCTTTTTGAAAAGTAAAAATCCATTAAAACCAATTATAATCGATTGTAATTCTTTTTTGTTTTCAACAAAATGGATTATTTTTGTACATAAAATCCATGAAAATGGATTATATTTTGAAACTAATTACTCTTCTTTTGCAATTTTTTGCCCAACTCGAACGAACACGTTCATCCAGGTGCGGCCAAATTATAGTAATTTTGAAGAGCCCAATATCTATTAATTTTCCAAAAAGTGCCCATAATTTTGACCATTTTTTTAAACAAAATTTGGCTGCGGAGCTAAAAATTTGGTCGAAATACGTTCGTTCTTTTTAATGCTCTGGGAGTGCTTTCAAGTTTTTTCTGAATTTCCTGCCGTCCCTACCTCCACCCTCCACGACTCACTACCCCCATCATCATGCCCCCGCTATGATTATAATCGATTAAAGTTGATTATTTTTCTTTTGATAAAAATTTTGAAAATAAATTGAAAATCATTGATTATATTGGAATTTCATTGCATAAAATAGTATAGTTATAATCTACTTTCAATCTAATATAAACGATTATTTTCATTATTTTAGAGACTGGCAATGAAAATCTAATATAATCAATTATTATCCATGCTCAATTCATAATGCTATCTTGCTTTGCAAAAATTATCGAAAAACCCTCATATACCTTGAGCCAATGATGTTGATGTAGTTTCAAACGAGTCTACCATGGATTAATATATTTTCAAAATCAGGAATTATTGGCGTTAAAATTTGGCTGTTTTTTTTTTCTTTGTGAAAGATCGCTTTGTTTTCGTTTTTAAATGAAATTGTTGCTACATATAATAAACGTATTGGATTCGAATGAGGGGAGTTAATAAAATGGACCAAGAAAAGTTGGTGTTTGGAAGCCAATCAAAGTTTTCGATTTCGTCGTTGTTTTAGGGTTATACAGATTTTTCCAGCTGAAAAATTGGCACCTCTTAAGTTTCCTAGCCAGAAACATGGACCACTAAAATTTCTAGCCAAAGTTTGACACCACAATTGTTCTGTAGGATCAAGAAGCAACTAAATTACTTTATTTTTTTAATAAGTCAACTTTTTTAACTTAATTTTTGAATGATGATTCACCTTTAACATTTCGTTAAATATTACACAGGCATCAAGTTGCAAAAAACCACGAACCATGGAAGCAGTATCGAAAAAATCAATATGACGTACAACTCTTTTCCGTAAAAGCTTGCATCATTCAAACTTATTCAAACTATTCATTATATAATGGCAAAGTCATCATCATAGTTATGAGCACAAGTTTAAATGCGGCTCGTGAAGTTGGACTAATTCCTAACTATGTTTTTTTAAACGATTTATTTTCAATACTGTAAAATGTCCACAGAAACATCTGGCGCGCATTTGTCGCAAATTTTGGCAACTGCAGTCTTTTTTTCTTCTTCTGCTTAAACTTCGGAGAAATTGACTGATTATTAGTGATCGTTGTAGTTTTTTTACTTAGGAAAAAAGTCCATTTCATAAGCTGCTTCTTTCAAACTGGTTTTTTTACCATCTGAAAAAAAGTGACAACAAGAAGTCAATTTATTTCCCGATTTGATCAAAAATAGAAGGGCTAGCATCGTAGTTCATCATTGGAGAAGCTCAATCTCACTTCAACTCGTGACGTTGAAGTAGTAAATTCGAACAAGTTTTTTGAACGCTTCATTTTCAACGCTGAAATTGTTCCATAAAAAATCTGGCGTCTATTTGCCTCAAATTACGTTAAACGCAGTCATTTTTCGCTGCTCAATTTTCAAAGAATGTGATTAATAGTGCGGTTAGTAATTTTTTAAACTTCGGACAAAGGTCGATTTTATAAACTGCTACTTGAAACTATTTCTTTTGAACCATTTGAAAAATGTGACAACACGAATTCAAATTAATTCCCCCACTTAATCAAAGTTTAGAGGTTGATTATCATAATTCATTGAAGATTTTCAATTTTTCTTCAGCTTGTGACGTTGGAGTAATTACTTTAGACTTCATGAGGAATTTTTAATTTCAATGCTGAAGTTAACCCAAAAACAATCTGCTGTACATGTGCCGAAAATTACAGCAATTGCAGTCCTTTATTGCTGCTCATTTTTTGAAGATGCTGACTGATTAATAGTGAGATTTGTATTTTTTTGTCTCGAAAAAAATTGTTTTTATATGTTATTACTTTTGAATTAATTTTTGTGCCACCTGAAAAGTGTGACGACAAAAACTTAAACTTTTCCCAGTTATCAAAAAATGAAGGGGTGCGAAAATGGTCAGTTTGACAATTTTGAGACAACTAACTGGCGGTATATTTCCTACTATAAACCCAAAACCCTCTCCAAACAAAATATAGCTATTTTGTGAGCTATTAGTAATTGTTTTTATGTCCTGGGTGCAAGTTTTGAAAAAATGAAAAACAAAGTTCAAAACTTTTTGTTTTGTTAGACGTTTTTTTTTACTCGTAGACGTTAAATGGCAGTCGAATATTCTGAGGTTTTCTGAACGTCTTGATTTTGAGCTGAAAAATGGGTTTATAATTGTCCTGATCAATCATCCACGGATTTAAAAATTGGTTATTGACAAAATTATTCATCGGAATATTGAGAAATTACAGCGTCTATCCACTTGCGAAAAAACACAACATTGGCAAAAAAGCTCTTTCCCTGGCAATCAGCTTGGCCCTTGTAGCCTCTGAAGTAACTAGTCACTCCATAAACACATTGCGGCTCCCTATACAATCCATTCAATACATACAGGGGTGATCCGCTATCTCCAAAACATATGGCATTGTCACCGAGGATTCGTTTTGCCTGCAAAGTATCTTGCTTTCCGAGAAACCAACGTTCAAAACGCCACCAGAAATTTTCGTTGAAATACGTTTCCATAAGTGTTTCCGGAGTCCGGTTGCCTTCAATTGAGGTTCGGCCAAGCCCACAGGTTCCGAGTAATGTCCGAAATTTTGCCGATTTTTCACACAGAGGAATCACTTTTTCCTGCGGAAAAAACGCTTCGACTTGTACAACAGCAATGTCATTTTGAAGTTTTTGTCTGTCATAGCTAAACAAAGTAAGTTTTCAAAGAAAGTAGCTAAAAAAAAGAAAATAATGTACGAGAGTGGCAACTTACCATTAGGTTTTTATTAGGTTAAAAGTATCATTAGGAGGCCCAACGTTGCAGTGGATAGGCGCATAATTTTGTGTCGATATGCTCCTGGATTCCAGAGACAAGTCTTTAAACATTTTGCAATTTTGTCAGAACGATGACAGATAATGAAAGAGCAAAGGAAAATCCTTTTTGCGGAACCCATGTACATTTCACGAAATGCACAGTTATGCATCGTAATGATCCCCATAAAAGAGAAATTTTTGAGTTGTCGTTAGCTAGTGATAAACGGTTTTCAAAATAAAAGTCAGAAAACCTCAATTTTTCATTTTGATTGAAAATTTCAGTTCTTAAACTAGTTAAAACGTTAAAGGGAATTCAAAACATTAAAGGGCGCCCCAATACAAAAAGTTTTGACTAAGTTTACAAATGTATGTTCTACAACATGTTTCATTGAGCGTATTAGAAATGATTCGAATTAATAATTATGACTGCACTAGACATTATGCTCTGACCTAGACGGTAATTGATACTATGAGTTTCAGCATTTAATTCACCTGCTATCTTTTTTCTAAGTTATGTGGGTTTGAGTTCTGGATCATTTTTTTTGAAGTTAAGGGTCTAAATTGTCAAGTTTCGGCCAATTACCAGTACATGTTTCAATCCTATACGCTTAAGCAGTAAACTAACTCGTCCTTTTGTTATTTAAATAGCATGTTGGGGACAATTTAAAAAAAAAAACTTTTTTTTTCTTTTTTCGGATATCGCTTGATTGTTATTTCAAAACTTATCTAACAGACTTTATAAGGCAGTTGGAGCATTTAGAGCTTTGCGCTAATACAGGGGTGAATCTAGGGTTTTCTCAAATAGAGGGAGGCGGATTTTATATTTTTCACGGCAGACTTTTGCAGGTTGGCCGAATAGATTTTTTTGGAGCATTTCCAGAAGACTATAAGGACCCTATTTTGACAAAAAAATAGAATTGTTTGGAAAATGTTGCCAAAAAAGCGTGTTTTCGGCGTGCGCTCCCCTTCAAAATTAGTAATTATTGGCGCTGAAGGCGCCTTTAGAAATTTTTTAGGCTTTGTTAGCCTAAAATAGATGCCATAAAAAAATACTAAGGGGTAACCCACTGGTTGATGAGGGAGTCGAATCCCTGAGGTGTTTCGGCATAATTGCCAACCACCCCTAAAGCCTACCCAGCCCTGACTTGAGAACTATTGAAGTACCCGCACTGGAGTTTCATGGGAAATATGCGTTATATCGGCACAAAACGTAACTCACATAATCGATTTGCATGACCCATCCAAGCATGAAAATGGACTTTTAGGGGAATATAATGGATAATTTCAATATTTAAAACTCGATTATAATCCATTTTTTTGACAATATAGACAATTTTTTAGGCCACAAAATTCCATGAAAATTAAACTTTTGAAATATTTGGATAAAAAACTTGCACAATTATATCAAAATCTTACCAAATTGTTAAAAAGTCAACAATCTGCAAATTTAGAACCCCAAAAAAACTGTTCGTTCCCAAAAAACTCCTACCTCTAATTTATCCCTCCTCAGATAACTTGCAAAATTTGAAAAATTTACCAATAGCTTCTCAAAAAATCCATTATAATCGACTATAATCGATTGTAATGGATTATGTTTATATAAAAATTTTTATGATCATAATCGAGTTTTAATGGACTAGAATCGATTATAGTTAAATATAATGGATTTTAATGATATAAAAAATACTAGGACTATAATCCATTTAATGGATTGTAATCTAATACTTATGTAACTTTATGGGTATTGACTATAAAATGACAATATAATCGATTATACTCCATTTAAAATCCATTTAACGGTTTATAATGAACACATTTTTTTGCAAAATCATTTGCAAAACTTGCAACCTTTCTGCGTTACTCACGGCCTACTCGCAACTTACTCGAATTAACCCCCCCCCCATCACTTTGCCCCCATCGGCATTTTCCCAAACCTTCTCTCCCCCCCCCCCCCCCCCCCCCCGAGTTGGTTTACCATTTTGAACGGGGACGGGAGAGGGAGTAGATTCAGTTGTTCAGGTTTCCCTTCCCCCATATTTTACCACATCCCCCCCCCCCCCCGACCCGACGTTCAGTAAACGGGGTAAGGGGGGAGATGGGGGGTAAATTGAGGAGGGTTATTTTTTTTGGGGGGGGGGGGGGTAAATCATAAACCCCCTCCCCAAAGTCTACCAATAAATAGTCCCCCAAAAGGTGGTGCGAATTGCGATTGTGGTAAACTGGGAGGGAGGTAGGGGGGTGGCTGGCCTTAGGGAGGTGGGGGAGGGGGGGGGGGTGGGGTAAACGGGGTATATAGGACAAAAATTATTTAAAAAATGGAAAATTGAAATGTAACATTTTATGAAACCTAATACGTAGCAACTGCACTAAACAGGAAATGCGATAACTTTGAGAATATGTTGTAAATTTCATGACTAACCTCTCGAAAAAAATCCATTATAATTGATTAAAACCGATTATATTGATATAAAATATAATGGATTATAATCCATTTTTTATGGATTACAATCAATTATTTTTGCAATTTCATAGATACTGGCTATACAATGACAATATAATCAATTATTATCCATGGAACTCCAGTGCGGGACATTATCATTTCAGTTGAAAATTTTGCTTGTGACATAAAATCATCTCGTTGAAGTTTATATCGGAAAGTCTAGATATCATTTCGCTTGAGATGAAAGTTTGCAAACAAATAGGGCGAGCAGCCTTCATGTGACATCAACCGACACTATTTTAACAAAGGTTTGCTGAAATTTACCGTTCGTGAATGAAGAATTTGGAGACGGAGTGAACTTTGCGGCTAGCTGTTGTGAAGATCCCGGATGCAAAGTCACCCTCCTCCACATAACTATTAGCTAAAAATAGACTCAAATCAAGCCTGAAACTGAAAAACAACCATCATCAATTCTTCGTCCAAATGAGACAAATTATACATAACAATTTTATCGGACTGGGGGCAAATTAACCCCAAATTAGACGCATTTTCGACACTGTGCTATATCCAGTCTAGAAAAGTTAGCTGCCGTAAAAAGACTAAA